GTTGGGACGGAGCTTCCAGCTGCCCGAGATCCACCCGTTGCACTCCCGCTGGTCACTCCAGCTCTTCTCCTGCACGCCGAAGGACATGCCGTTGGCAGGGTGGCCGTGCTTGGCGCGGTTCGCAGGATGGATCTCCCACGCGACGGAGTTCTTCCGCGGCAGGGTGCTCTTGCCCTTGCCGCTCACGGTCGGGGGGATGAATGGCGTGCCCTTGAAGGTGATGCGCGGCGAAACCATTTTGCCGTCAGCCATGACAGCCAGAACGAGCGTGAAGCGTTCCTTCTCTTTGCCTGAGGGGAGGGGGAAAAAATCAACGCGAGNGTTGATACAATGGATGCAAACGGTACCGGACGTTTCGAAAACTAAGTTGGTTGATACAGTCGTCCCCGCTGTAAAGACACCATTTTTAAAGACACTCCCCTCTTCAAGGACACAAAAAATCTCAGAAACATGGTGCCCCACAGATGTGAAAAGTAGGGGGGGGGAGGGTTTTCCACCATTCGACCCCCCCCAGAACATGTGCTGCAGCACCTGTAGATCCTGGATCCTCAACAGTGGTCTGCTGCAGCCGCACACTGCGTGTGGGTGTATCGAAAGATTCATTCCATCTGCTAGCGGTTCGTCTGCTGCCCTGGGTGAAGTCTCGTGAGGTCGAATTTGGCGTTTGTGTTGTGTTGTGCCTCGTTTTGACCTTTTGGGAGGCGCGGTGTTCTCTTTGTCGCTGTGTTTTACCGACATTTTTGGTCTTTGTGTTTCTGCGTAACCTACATTTTCCTAGTGTCGTTTGACAACCTTCGATATTTCTCAGGTGCGGTAGCGATTTCTTGGGCAAGATATTCACGGGGAGGACAACGCCAAAAAATAAAGAAAGCAAATAATAAAGGCCATATCAACACCAGCGCACTACCGTCGCGTACATGTACGATGCGTAGGTCGTAGAACACCATCGCTTTCAGCGTTTTGGTGGTACAGTACGGGGAAATTCAAACGATGGTATGCATGTATTGCAGCACAATAGCAGCAGTGATTGCGACCTTCAAATCACCTTGTGTCATAAATTTCAAACAACACCTTTTGTGGTCGCTTTTCTGCTGCGAATGCGCACCTTTTGACATTTGTTTCGCCTTCATTGGCCCCGGGGATGGTGCGTTAGTGGCCCCGGAATTTTAAAGACACTTCCCGCGATAAAGACATTTTTTGGGGGGGAAAACGTGGTATGTCTTTAAAGCGGGGTCGACTGTAGTTTGGATGCAATGAAAAAGGAAGTGTAGAATAATCCCGCAGAAAAGGTATCAACCCTCATGTGTCTAACGATAGTGCTACATCGCACCGTGTACCGGCATGCAAAAATAAACATGTCTTTAATCCGCACGCCACACAAAATTTTGACAAAAATATTAGCTCGCCCTCACCTCCTGTGCTGATTCAAGCATCCTTCGCACCGGCCTTCTCCAGAGTGGTCTCCACCGGCATCTCGTCTTGGACTGGCAACTGGTCCATGTTGCCGAGTTCCTCGAAAACGTCCGCCTCCACAGACGCCAGCTGCTCCGAAGTCAGATCCTCCCCTTTGATGGGGCTCTCGTCAGGTGCCGGCGGGTGGCGCCGAGCGTAGATCTCACCGGCGCGCTCTACGAGAGCCTCGCGCAGCTTCATCACCGTCGCCCACGCCATACCCTCGTACCCCTTCGGCAGTTTCTTGTCCACGCTGGTACGCCGGCGGATGCTGAACCCATTCCGCATGCGGAACCGTTGGTACCAGGAGTTGAATTCGATCTTGAAAGCCAGCGCATCCTCCGGTTTCGCGTTCGCCGGCATCCCGCCAAGGACGTCAGGCTTCAGCTCGAGCAGCTTGTTCATCCTCCCGATTACCACAACCGCGGTGCTGCTTGCGCTGCTCGTTGATGTAGTCCACAGGGGCTTGTTTGGCGTCGACAGTCGAAGCTTTCCCTCCGCTGTGAACCTGCTTGGCCTTCGAAAGCTTGGGGTTGGCGCTGACCTTCTCCCTGAGCTGCTCCTCCTGCTTCAGCCACTCGATGATACGCATTACCGAGGACCTGGAGAACTTTCGCCGCGCCGTTGTTTCCCACCGGTTGGCCGTCGCACGGGCAGATCTCCCGTGTGTAGGCCGCCGCGTTCAGTTTGAACCGGATGGGGTAGCTCCCTTTCCCTCCCACTGCTCCTGACCGCTCGATCAGGAAGTTGGGCTCCGGGTACGCGCGTTCGCCGTTGCTGTTTTTGACGGGGTCGTTGGCGGCTAGCATCTCATCGATAGCCTCGCCGGTTGCCTTCGGGTCCGCAGCGGCAGCTCCCTGATCCGCAGAGGAAGGATCGCCAGCACTAGCCTGTGAGGCCTGTGAGGCGTCGGCAGGTCCCGCGCTTGCACCCTCAGACATCGTAGCCGCGCGTTGCGTGTGGTCGAGCCCGCAGCTCCGTCCCGGGCATTTTCCCGATTTTCCGCCGGTATTTCTCCGCCACGGAACTGTTGTGGTGGCAATTCCCCGAGACTCGTTTGTGTGTGCAGCTAGTAGCTTGTCTGTTGGTTGTGTTGTGATCGTGTTGCAGCAATACCATACACGCGAAGTGCTGCTATCCCCTGTGGTTATCAATGTTAAGATCGCACATATCGGGGTCTTGGCACAGGGGTGTGCGTTCGAAAGTCGCCGTACCAGCCGCTTTGGATTCAAACAGCACCGCTTATATCGGGGTCTTGACACAGGAGTGTGCGTTGTTTCTTGGAACCAAAATATTTACAGTGGGGGCTACGGTTTAAGAGAGCTCAGTTTAAGAGAATCGCCGATTTAAGAGAGGTCAAAATTGCTAGACACACCCCTCTCTTAAACCGAACCCCGAATCTCTTAGGCTGACTCTTATGGCTCCCGAAAGTTGGCCACGGAACGAGTTTTTTTTTCAATTTTCGTGGCATGTCCATCTCATGGGCACGGATGTGGCGGGTTCAGGGTCAAAAAAAATCGTTTGGAACATCTGGGCCGAGGGCCCAACGATAGTTGGGCATATATTTCGTATGGGAATCGGGCCCGGATGTTGCCGACGGATTGTTCGTTTTGATCGAACACACCGAAATCGCGGGTCACACCGCATCAATCCCGAGCGGCACCCGAGCGTGGCGTGTGTGTGCAGGAGCTTTCCAGCACCCAGCACAGACTGGACCGGGTGCGCGATGGAGCACGCGAGTGCGGCCGACGACAGCGGCAGCGACGACGAATGACATGTCCACCTACTTGTTCTTCTTGCAGCAGCGAAGCGGAGACGTCGCGAGCTGCTTACCGTGGCGACCTGGCGAGTTGTCCTGCGGTCCTTCCCAGATGGCGACGAGTTGGAGGACGAAGGCCTTCGCGTTGGCTCCCCCGTGAAGCGTACCCGCCGAGTTCTTCCACGGCCAGACTACCGCGCCTCGTGTTGGTGGCGCATGCTGGGCGAGACGGGCCTCAAGGAACCAGCGTCAAGAGAGGCCAAGCTTTTTCGGAGGCGCTTCCGCATCCCCTACTGGTCAGTTCTTCACCGAGCTCATGGAGCTGGTCAAGAAGAAGAAGTGGTGCTGTTGTATATGTCCGCGACTTGGAAGGGAGAGACTGAATATCGCTTGTATTAGAAACGCAGGAGCAAGAGAAGAGAAGAAGAAGAGTGCTTCCGGAAAACAGAGAAGCAGGGGTCACAAACACAAGAANTGGTCAGTTCTTCACCGAGCTCATGGAGCTGGTCAAGAAGAAGAAGTGGTGCTGTTGTATATGTCCGCGACTTGGAAGGGAGAGACTGAATATCGCTTGTATTAGAAACGCAGAAGCAAGAGAAGAGAAGAAGA